GTCTGTTGGTCTGACTGGAACTGCGGCATAGGACTCTCTGGGCTCTTAGGCTCCAGCCCACTCCACAGATTTTGGACTTGCCATTCTCCAAATTGTGTGAGCCAATTCCTTCTTCTTTCTTCTTCTTCTTTTTTTTTTTCTTCCTTCCTTCTTCCTTCCTTCCTTCCCTTCCTCCTTCCTTCCTTTCCTTCCTTCCTTCCTTCCTTCCTTCCTCCCTTCTTCCCTCCCTCCGCCTCCCTCCCCCCCCTCCCTCCCTCCTCCTCCCTCCTTCCCTTTCCCTCCTTCCCTTCCTGTTTTGCTCTTGTTGCCCAGGCTGGAGTGCAATGGCATGATCTCAGCTCACTGCAACCCCTGCCTCCTGGGTTCGAGTGATTCTCCTGCTCAGCCTCCTGAGTAGCTGGGATTACAGGTACTCACCACCATGCCCAGCCAATTTTTTTCTCTGGAAAACCCTAATGCCGATGGCTATGGGGATTAACTAAAATTACAGTGTGAAAGTATCTGATACAGTATGCAACCAGTACCAAAGCATCTAGTAGATGCCCAATAAGAGCTACTTTGCAACCCATCCTCCCAGTTCTCTCGGTCAAGAGTTAAATAGATTCCTCAGGACGGGAAGAATACTTCCCCCAGACCTGGAAATCCACTGGCTAGTCAGTCAATGTTTGTCACTTTCAGTGGACTGCCGGGCTCTGTCACATTTTGGGATGCAAACATTTCCCAGGGTGCCTCTCTCCCTCACCTGGCTCCAGTCTCCTAAGTCTTAGAACAAGAAGGCATGTACCTTTCTTTGTTCCCTGTTCACTAATTGCTTCTGGGTGGGTAAGAGTGGGAAGAAGAAGATAATTCCCTCCTCCTCCTCCTTATCAATAGTCTCCATTAAGCCACACGTGTATGTGGCATCTGAAAGGTGAGGGGGTGGGTTCATTATGCTTCTTCAGACACATAAGACCTCTTTTCCACTGAGTGCTTCTTACCAACTGATGGCAATTAGTAGAATTATTTTTAGCATATCTGAAACCTTTCTTTCTCCTAGTGCACTTTTTTTGTTTTGAACAGAAATGCATTGTCTTGAAGTTCTGAAGGACAGAAGTTCAAGGTGTCAGCAGGCTTGGTTCCTTCTGTGGGCTGTGAGGAAGAATCTGTTCTATGCTTCTCTCCTGACATCAGGTGGTTTCCTGGCAATCACTGGTGTTCCCTGGGCTATAGAAACATTACCCTGATCTCTGCCTTTATTTTCATGTGGTGTTCTTCCTGGGTGCATATCTGTATCCAAATTTCCCCCTTTTATAAGGACACCAGGCATATTGGATTAGGGGTTCATCCTATTGTGGTATGACCACAGGTTAACTAATTACATCTGTAATGACCCTATTCCAAATAAGGTCACATTCTGAAGTACTGGGGGTTAGGACCCAGTGTATAAATTGTAAGGAACCCAATGCAACCCATAACAGGCGCTATTTTAGAATTCTCTTCAAGTGGCTTCTTCTTGAATCTTTCTGACATAATCCTAGTTATCTTCGGTAGCTTTATTGTTATTTGGTAAAGCAATAGGTTCCAGGCTCATCTTGCACATATCTGTTCCGGGCTCATTTTGCCCAGACCTGGACTCAGCCATTCCTCCAAGAAGCCCTGTTTGTGTTTATTTATTTATTTTTATAGTTTGGTGAGAAATTGTATTTCAAGGCCATAATCTGGGCTCTAGAGCTGCTCACTGCTACCAGGTTAGCTGTTGTTTGTAGCTCTTTACAGTGGGCAGGTTTGAAAGTCATGTGAGGGGCTAAGAGTTTCTCTCTGTAAATGGTTCTTAATACCCTAAGTTTGTTAGCCCTTGCTGACCTTAAAAGTTTCCCAGAATTGGCCGGGCACAGTGGCTGACGGCTGTAATCCCAGCACTTTGAGAGGCTGAGACGAGCGGATCACCTGAGGTCAGGAGGTCAAGACCAGCCTGGCCAATATGGCGAAACACCATCTCTACTAAAAATCCAAAAAATTAGCCGAGCATGGTGGTGGGTGCCTGCAATCCCAGCTACTCAGGAGACTGAGAGGGGAGAATCACTTGAACCTGGGAGGGGGAGGTCGCAGTGAGCTGAGATTGCACCACTGTACTCCAGCCTGGGTGATAGAGCAAGACCCTGTCTCGAAAAAACAATAATAATAAAAACAAGTTTCCCAGAATTGTTCTCCACAGGAGAGGGTGTCAGCTTTGCTGTCTAAGCCAAACTCTGGTCAAGTCGATGACGTTCTACTGACCTCAATCCTCCCATTGCAACTTTAGTTAAAAATAGCACAATTTCTTCACCCCTGCTCCCCATGGCCACACGGCTGCCACACAGGGCTCAAGTAGAGGATGTCTCCCATTTCCAGGGGTGAAGTTGTCCCTGGTGACAGCGCGAATGCCCCTGAGTGTCTTTATCACCTGTTCATGTACCCCTGGCCTACCGTGTGCTGCCTACTCCAGCCCTGCCACACTGTTCCCCCTTCCCTTCAGTGCTCCCCCAGCTCCTCTCCAGTTCCCACAGCCTGCAAGACCCACAGTCCATCTCAGTTTTCTTGGACTACTTAGGCCTCCATGTGTCTCAGTTTCCAAATCTGTGAAATGGAAGGAATCGTATCCACCTCATCAAGTTGGAAACTTTAAATGAGTAACTACCTAGTATAAGGCTTAGCCCAGCCAGCCCCCATCAATTTGAGCTTTTATTTTTTATTTTATTCTATTTTATTTTTTTCTGAAGCAGATTCTTGCTCTGTCACCCAGGCCGGAGTGCAGTGGTGTGATCTCGGCTCACTGCAACTTCCGCCTCCCGGGTGCCAGTGATTCTCCTGCCTTAGCCTCCCGAGTAGTTGGGACTATAGGTGTGCGCCACCACACCCAGGTAATTTTTTATTATTAGTAGAGATGGGGTTTCACCATGTTGGCCAGGCTGGTCTCAAACTCCTGACCTCGGGTGATCTACCTGCCTCAGCCTCCCAAAGTGCTGGGATTACAGGTGTGAGCCACCCTGCCTGTAATTACATGCATGAACCACTGTGCCTGGCCTGAGTTTTTATTTTTACTCTAGTCCAATAGCGCTCCATTCTCGCTGCATATTAGAAATATCTGAGGAGATTTTCAAAGAAAATAGTGATGCTTAGTCCCCACCCTAGGAGAGTTTTGGCCAGGCACTTCTTCCTTCATTCCCAAGTGACAGTGGTGTAAGGTGGTCATGAGTGTGAGCACTCCCCTCAAAGTTTGGGAGTGGTGAAGGGTGGTTAGGGTTTACCCTAGAATATTAGACATCTCTTTTCCCCACTGTGGAAATTCCTCACAGTCCATCTTTCCCCTTAAGTGAGACCCTTCTCCCAGCTTTCCTTTGTTCCTGTTCCAAAGGTCTGTTGGTCACCGTCAGTTGGCAGACAAATTACTATCACGTTCTCCTTCAGAGATAGTTTATTTGCCTGCAATGTTTTCCTTCCTCACCATTTCCAGGGTATCTCCACCTTTCATATAGAAAATGGCCCACTGAAGTGTTTTCCTAAACTAAAGAGAAGTCTTCTTGTCTCTGATTATTTTTTATTTTTTTGAGACGGAGTTTCACTTTTGTTGTCCAGCCTGGAGTGCAATGGTGCAGTCTTGGCTCACCACAACCTCTGCCTCCTGGGTTCAAGTGATTCTCCTGCCCCAGCCTCCCAAGTAGCTGGGAATTCTGGCATGTGCCACCACGCCCGGCTAATTTTATATTTTTGGTAGAGATGGGATTTCTCCCTGTTGGTCAGGCTGGTCTCGAACTCCCAACCTCTGGTGATCCACCTAGCTCGGCCTCTCAAAGTGCTGGGATTACAGGCATGAGCCACCATGCCCAGCCTCTGAAGATGTTTTGTGACAACAACCACAGTCCTTTTTTTGTACGCTTTTAATTTTAGAAATTAATGTGATTTATATTGGTGCAGACAATTCACAATTACAAAGATATCAAACCAACCTAAGTGCCCATCAACTGATGAGTGGATAAAGAAAATGTAGTGTATATACACCAGGGAATACTACTCAGCCGTTAAAAGAACAATATAATGTCTATTGAAGCAACTTGAATAGAGCTGGAGGCCATTATTCTAAGTGAAATAACTCAGGAATGGAAAAACCAAATACCATATGTTCTCACTTATGGGGGGAGCTAAGCTATGTGTACACAGGGCACACAGAGTGTTATATTGGACAGTGGAGACTCAGGGGAAGGAAGGGGGAGGGGGTGAGGGTTTAAAAGTACATGTTGGGTACAATGTACACTACTTTGGTGAGGAGTGCTGAAGTCTCAGATTTCAGTGCACCAGTCCCTTGAGGAGTATATGTTGTGCCCAGTAGTAGATGAATTCTATATAATTCATCTATGTAACCAAAACCCATGAGTACCCTGGTACCCCAAAGCCATAGAAAAAAAGAATAAAATAAATAAATAAATAAATACATGGGTGTAGAGTTATAAACCATATGAATGTTCCTTAATTTTAAAATTTCCTTTTGCTGAACATTTAACATGTTTCTAATTTTTTGATATTATAACTACTGTAATAATGAACACCTCTATGTATACATTTGTGTTCACTTATCTGATTTTTTTTTCCAGTGTGTTGAATCATGCAAGTTAACTTTCTGGATTAAAGATTATGCCTATTGTTAAGGCTTTTGAAATATATTGTTGCCAAAGTGCCCTCCAGAAAAGTTGTACTGATTTAGTTTTATCCTCTGTCATGGTGTATCTTTCTTAGTATATTTTTTCAACAGTTTGCACCTTTTTACACCTTGTAAAATATATCACACATACAAAAGTTTATGTGACATATACATACATTTTAAAAGACTAAACAAAAATAAAAAACCACCATGTTCTCATATCTCAGCTGTAATGAACTGAAGCATTACCAGTATCTTTGAACCTGTCCAAGGGGTGACTGCCTCCTTCCGGTTTGTCCAGAACTGTCCTGGTTTTAGCACTGAATGTCCCAGATCCTAGTTAACCATTTACTCTGAGGAAGCCTGGACAGCTGATCACTGCATCCCTATGTGCGCGTCTCCAAATCTACCTCCTCCCTCCTCCAACGGTATCCTGTATGGACTTCTAAATAACGTACTCTGAGGTTTTTTCCTACATAAATGGAATCACATGGTATGTTCCTTTTGTGAGTTGCTTCCGGCCAGCATTGTTTTTGAGCTTCATCCTGTTGATGTCTATAGCCGCAGTTCATATGGTTTTTCTGTTGACTGCCATCCATTTGATGAATACCTCACGTTTCTCCATCTTCTGTCAATAAACATTGCAACTTCTGTTACTGTAAGCTGCGTGGCTCTGAACAGTCTTATCTGTCTCCTGGAGCAAAGGTCCAAGAGTTTCTCTAGGTTATTTACATAAGCGTTAAATTACTGGAGGACTTACATAACCACACCAGAAGTGCCAAATTGTTTTCTAAAGAAGTTGTGCCTATTTCCATCCACTAGCAGTGCATGAAAATACCTGTTTGCCACACCCTCATGAAGCAGTGTCTGACTTTGTAACTGTAGCCATTGTGGTTGCTATGAAATGGTATTTCATTGTGGGTTTAATTTACATCTTCATGATCACCAGTGAGATTGAACCTCTTTGCGGAGGTTGATTGGCAATTTCTGTTTCCTCTTCTGTGAAAGGCCTGCCCACATTGTTTGCTCATTTTTCTATTGGGCCACTTGTCTTTTTCTTACAGATTTGTGGGCCCACTATTTTTTGTTTTTATCAAGGTAAAATCAGGTTAAATTGCTTTCAGAATCAGGCTGAAGGGATGAAAATTCAGAGGACGACATCTATCTAAGGGTTGGACACATCAAAAGACAGAATGAACACACTTGTTACACAGTCCCTTAAGCCTTCTTTATCTGCAGCTGGCTAACA